TGGACCAAGTCTGAAAATCTTGGAAACCATGAGCTTTAATCCTGGCACATTCTTTCACTCAAAACAAAGAATTAAATGTATAGAATGATAGTTCACAGAGAATTTTGACTTGTCAAATAAACTATTTTTGATACTTGTTTGTTAAATATTTCCTTAAGACACTGTATTGTCAATAGAGAATAGATGCCATTACACTCTAAGATAAACTCATAAATCTATTTAAAAGTTCTATGATACGCACGTTGATTTTTTTAAATATATTGTTCATTATTTCAGAAATCGTTTGAGAGTTTTTATTAGCTGAAAATCTACGAAAAAAAAACAGTCATTTTTTAATGCTAGATTCAATACTAAACGATATATACGAAAACCACTATGAATAAAGTATGTTTTTCTTTGGTAGACATAAAAATAAAACTAGCTATCTTCATTAAGACCTAGTTTTTTTAGCAACTTGAGTAGCAACAACTAATAAATGTCAGAGTGACCAAAAAAAAACAACCGAAAACTTCAAATGATCTTAAAATATTTTGATCTGCTTGTTTATTTGATGGTGTAGCTGCTGATAATTGCGTAATAGGTTCTTTTGGTATAACTAAAAAATGTGTTGATGCTTGTTTAGGCATATTATGAAAAACAACACACTAGAAATAAAACTGAGTCAAATTAATTTATACGTTTTATTTCCGAGAAAAAAAGAACCTGATCATCATCATAAATTAAATCAATTTCGACTTGAGGTGTGGGTAAGCATGTATCTTCTTTTAATTGTCACTCATATCAACACTCCCAGAACTATGATTTCATTATATTTAACATAATACAATTATACAAAGTGAGATGTAATATTTAGGCTATGAATGTAGCTACTTTCTATACTCACACTTTAATTACCAGGTTGTTTTTTTATTCATATTATTATGATTAAAAGAGATCATGTCATCGAATAATATGCGATTTAAAACATTGTCGTAAGTATTCGACGTTCATATAAATATAATTGGGAAGAGATCACTCCTTGTTTACATATAAACTAATATTCTTTAATGTCCAGAACTTATGGGACATCCTTTATATCATTCCCAGAAATCAATCAATTTTTAAAAAACAACTCATAATAAGTATATTTCCAATATATCTTCATAGTGATATGATTTCGCCACAGTTTAACCATACCAATGTGATGATTACCGTCTGTATAATCTACTCTGATGATTTACTCAACATCAACTTTACTTGATTAGTGTTAGGTTGCAATTGATTAAAAACCACAGAAAAGTCATGATAAGTGTTCGAATATACGATTTGTCCTCAGCATATTATTATAAAAAAGATCACAGCAAAAACATTAAACAAAACTTGTTTTCTTCATAAAAAACGTAGGCAGTATGACGAGCAAAAAAAAACAACTTTGATCATTCATCGTACTATATAATTTTGGCATAATTTTGTGGCATAGCATGTTAATAGACGATGATACATGTGAATAATATTCTTATTATGCATATGGACAGAAAGAAAAAAAAATACAGAAGAAAAAAGAGAAAAAAACGCAGAGGTCGATCGAATAAGGGTAGCAGAGAATCTTTTTCTCCTAACATGCGTAGCTATGCACAATGAATAAGACGAGAACGAGCACAAAAAAATTCGAATGCAACCCTTAATATACAAAGCATGAGTGTACACATCTATATCAAAGACACGATGGAAAGATTAAGCACGGTAATACTTATTTGACTTGAAGTTCATCAGTAACCAGTAATAGGCACCAAAAAAATATACACCGGTTGATTTACTGTTTGGTGAAAGACAAAAACAGCACATTGGTTGAAACACATGGTATACATTTTGTTGTTTACTTCGTTTGCCTCTTTCTTCGTTCTATAAGGTTGTATACGATGAAAAAAAGACATACAGTGAGTAAAATATTTTTCATAAACATTTATATATATAACATTGAAATGATGGAAAGAAAAGTCAAAATAATAGTTTTATACATTGTTTCAGATTTTGATAAAAATATGAAGAATTTTATTATTCTTCTTTTATTTATCTCGTCATCACAATTTTCAATATCCAGTCGAAAACAAAATCATTATGATCAAAGACAATTGGAAGAAATTATTGAGATTTTAAAAATAAAATTTACAGATGAACTTGAAGAACTAATATCAACTAATTATAATATAGAACATCACAATGATAATCCTAAGCAATCAGAAAATTATGAACCTGAAGTTGATCCTAATGATCATGTTGATATTAAATTATGGAATAAACTAAATGAAAAAGATATGAAAAAAATGCCAGTCATTGATGATTATTCAGATGAAGCTATGGCTATGCAATGGTTAAAATGGTATATTCCCATAGCAAAACGCTATAGTCAAGTGAGATAAGAAATATAGTTTTACTAATTAATTAGTTTATTCCATTTAGGTAGGTGCTCTTCTCAATTGGAATTATGAAACAAATATAACTAAAGAAAATCAAGCAGCAATGACTGCACAAAATCTTATTCGATCACCCTTTAGTCGTCTAGTACTACCGATAGCAAAAAAAATCAATGAACATATGAAATATTCAAAAGATGATGATTTAAAACGTATATTTGGTCGTTTAGCAACAGGTGCAACCAGTGATAATAATGATGATGTAAAACGCACTTCTAAGTTACATGGTCAATTAGAAGATATTTATTCAACAACAAAAGTTTGCGAATTAAATGATAATAAAAAATGTTATACACTTTCACCATATATTGAACGACTAATGCAAATTGAAAAAGATTATGATCGTTTATTATGGGCATGGAAAGGTTGGCATGATGGATGTGGAAATAAAATTCGTTCAGTTTATTTACCTTATATTGATTTATTGAATAAGAACTCTAAAGAAAATGGATATCATGATCTAGCTGTAAGTTTTTCGACTTGAATAAGTTATATATCATATTCATATATCTTATCGAATGAGTTTATTGTATAGAAATCAGAAGTATGAGTCGGCTATTTCTTTTTTGAGATGTGATCTACACAGAAAACCAGGCGGATTGATATTTCTTTTTTTTTCTGTATCAAGTTACCAGTGAGCGTTTCAAAGCATCACATCACTTTTTGTGTTGGAACTATGTACACTCCGTAGGTTCTAATGAACTATGAATATATCGCAAAGAGTACAGATTAATAGGTTATTACTGCCAACGTACTATATTTTGTATCAGAATACCGTGATCCACCTCAGGAATACACTTGAAACATTTATTACGAAGGATCATTGTAGTTTGAGTCATATATTTTATTGAATTTCATAGAGTTCGTATAATGACTAGTTTTTGTATAAAAGAGAGAGAGAAAGATCAATTAGCAAACATATTTTTCCCATAAGAAACAATAGATTTGTCGCAATATTTTTTAATTTATCGACATTGTTTGGCATAATCAGACAAAATGCAGGAATGATAAAAAAAACATATAATCAAGCATACAAAGAAGAGGTAAAAGAATAAAAGTGACCACAAGTACAGTTTAATAGCATGTCTTACGTTCATTGACGTAATTTACATGCATGAGGACGAAAATGCTGTTATCAATGTGATTATAGTGGACCTGTTCCATGTGACTGTAAATGACTGTGTACTAAGGAACGGTCCACACTCCTTCAAAATCAACAGCTAGTGGCATCATCTCATATTTCGATCTAGAATAAAGAAGATGGCATGACATCATTCAGAGACCAACAAATTTGACTTCGTCTGTAGTGCTGTAGGCATCAGAATTTGTAGACGAGAAGGACTCTGCCTAAGTTTGAGACTGAAAAGCAGGTATTTTCTTTGTTTGTAATATAGGACCGTAACATTTCTAGATAAAGTTCAAAGATTTTCTGCTGAGGGTTGCCACTCTCTGGCTCCGTCACTACTGACCATGGCATGCCCTAGTGGTCTGCCACGCATCAGGATAGGTTGAAAGCTCTGAAAGAAATACACAGGCAGGAAGCTGTTAAGACACTCCCTGTAGATGTAAGAAGCAAGGTACACTCTAGCTATTATGGCTAATCATAGGAAGATTGTTGTATTCTATCCACTTCGTGCCATATTTATTCACCAGTCTTTTACTTAATTCTTAAGAAATACAACTAGGGAGTAGTTCACCTATTATAATGCGACGTTATTGATATACGATCCATGATCATCTATCCAAAAACATCTGCCATAGTCTGTCGCAGGGGATCTGAATTTTTATTTCTAAAGGTGAACAGCCCTTGCAAATCGTGTTCAGCAAAAATTTTTCTTATAATGATGATTAATACATTCTTTTATTTTATTCTTATGTCAGGAACGTTGGATTGAAGACTACGAAATGGGTAATGTTACCGAATTCGAAGGTACTATCGATCAAATTCTAAAAGATATCATGCCACTCTATGAACAA